ACAGCTCACAGCAACCTCCAACTCCTGGGCTCAAGCAAGTCTCCTGCCTCCGCCTCCCAAGTAGCTGGGACCACAGGCTCCCGCCACAACGCCCGGCTAATTTTTGGTTGTAGCCGTCATTGTTGTTTGGCGGGTCCGGGCTGGGGGTTCGAACCTGCCACCTTAGGTGTACGTGGCTGGAGCCTTAGCCGGTTGAGCTATAGGCGCCGAGCCCACACACCTTTTCAGTTTGAGACAGATATGGTAGTTTGATGCTCAACAGTCTCCTTTGCTTTTGATCTTTACTCTTTCTGTCTTTGCAGAAGCCTTGCTCCATCACTTGTTACCCTCTGTTCTTTTGTTTAGCCTTCCCTGTGTGTTTTCCTCAGCCTATGCACAGACTCACTGTCTTTCACATCTTATCATCTTGAAAGACTAGTCTGTTTTTCTTTTCAGTATTCTTCCTGCCCACTCAGTCTTCACTGTGCCGCAAGTCACGCTTTCCGCTATCCTTCCCCTCCAAGATTCTACTGAAAATGTTCTCATTAAGGTCACAAATTATGTAAATTTCAGAAGCATTGGGGGTATTTTTTAGTCTTTATATCACTTCATCTCTCATAACCACTGACCCTGTTGACCACTGTCTTTGTTTCTGTGCTACCACATATTTCTGGATGTCCTTTGACTGCTCTGTTCTTTATTTTCCGTTTCATTTGCTAACTCCTGTCTTTATCCATATTTAATTACTAGTGTTCCTAGAGGTACCTACTGGTCCCCATTCCCACTTTACATTGCTCCCTGAGTAATCCATCCTCTCCCTTTCCTTCTTTAGCCTATTTGCTGAATAGTTTCCCAAATCTGTGTATCTCCAACACCAACTGAACCTCAGTCCATGTTTATCTACCTGCTTATGGGACATTTCCACTTGGATTTCTCACAGGTGCCTGGAACTCAGGTTAAAGTTAAATGCATTATCTCTATTCCCATGTCCTTTAACCTCCTCTTTATCCTTCTATCACTTTCTCTGTGAAAGACACCATTGTCTTTTTATTTACTGAAGCCTGAAACTTAGGAGTTTCTTAGAATCCTTCTTTACCTATGGAACTAACAATAACTGTATTATATAGATTTTATCTCCTAATTGTCTCCTTTATTTATTCCCTCCCATTCTGTTCCCATACCACTACCTTAGTATAGGGCATTGAAATTGTTTTTTTATTAATAACTGTTTAAATAGTTGGATTTGTTTGTAGTCAGGTTTCTTTAGTTTGTCTTTCACATGGGTAATGGGCCTTGTTCTAATATATAAATGTAATTTTATCATTTCCCCCATGTAAAGTTTTCAGTGATTCCTTGTTGCCTGCCTGGTAAAATCCAAATTTTACCTCCATGACTTATCTCTGTAATGTATTCTAAATCTACTCCCATATTACACTTTATGCTTAATCATACCAAATCCTTTATTATTGCTTGATTATACTGTCCCATATCTTGGTATATCTCTCATGGCTCAGCAGATGCTATTCCTTTTGCATGGAATGTCCTTCCCCTTCTTTGTTACCATGGTGAGCTTTACTTATCCTTGAAGATCAGCTTAAGCATCATCTCTGTGAAGACTTCTCTGATCATCCCAGGGCGAGTTACTCATTCTTTCCTTTGTGCCATCTTTACTTCTCTGTGTTTAATACTATGTTGTAAGTCTTTATTTTTTGAACTTCCATTCAAGCGTCAAGTTTCTTCAGGTCAGAGATATGTCTTGTTCATTTTTTGCATCCCTGTACTTAACAAAATACTTTACTGACAGCAGATCCTCATAAATGTTTAATAAAAGAATAAATGTTCTTGTCCTCTATAAATTCAGTCCAGTGAATACACTGTCTTGTATATTTCTCCAGATGTGTATGAAGGAATAATTTCAGTATACTTTGGTGATCTGGCCTAAGAGAGGAATGCATGAGATACCATGGCAGCCTAGAAGAGGGAATGATTATTAAGATATGTAGAAGATCAGAGAAAGTCTTTTTTTTTTTTTTTTTAAAGAGACAGAGTATCACTTTATTGCCCTTGGTAGAGTGCTGTGGTGTCACATAGCTCACAGCAACCTCCAACTCCTGGGCTTAAGCGATTATCCTATCTCAGCCTCCCAAGCAGCTGGGACTACAGGCGACTGCTGCAATGCCCGCCTTTTTTTGTTGTTGTTGTAGTTTAACCAGGACCAGGTTTGAACCCGCCACCCTCCATATATGGGGCCGGTGCCCTACGGACTGAGCCATAGGCACCACCCAATAAGAGAAACTCTTGACAGGAGATAGAGAAATGGGAAATCGCCTTGGTGTATACAGAAAAGATACTAGTTCAAGATGTGAGGAATCTGCAATGTAGATTGGAAAAGAAAGCACAGACCAAAAGATGAAGACTCCTTTAGGACCTGTTTTTGAATTTGAGCATAGCCCTTAGCGGGAGACACTAGAGATTTTATCCCAGAAGGTAATAAAATCATATTTTTTGCATCACAGAGGTATCTTGGATAGTTCTGTGAAACAAGGAATGAAGGAGTGTGAGACTGGAAGAAAGGACATTAATTAGAGGAAGCTACTAATTTGGATTTGCAATGTTATAGTATTTGGCTGGAAGGAAAAGGATTCTCTATGTTGAAGCAGATTATGTCTTAAATCATCTTTGTAACCCACACTGTCACAGGGTTGGCACATAATGTTTGTTCCACTGAAAGATCAGTAAACATTATTTTCATGAAAGTGTCAGGGATTTTTATTATTGGCTAGCTTCCCAAGAGATATTTTTTTTTTTTACTGTTTTTTATCATTAGCTAGTTTCTCAAGAGAAAATCTCCCAAGAGATTATCTACAAAAAAAGGAATTAGTGGGTTTTTTTTACTATTTAACCTATCTTGGCCTTTCATAACCTGTACATGCTTAAACTCTTTTAATCTTTAGCTGTTTTGTGTCTTTTTAAATTGTTGATTTTTTTTTAAGTATATTCATTTAAATGATTTATTTATATCATCTTAATTTAGATTTTTGTATTTCAGTGAATATTCTTTTCTGGAACCACTAAATATCCTTATTTGTTTTTAAAAATATATATATAATCTTTATCAGCAATGCTTACAATAATAGTATCACCTCCTGTCTGTGAAGGACTCTGTGCAGATTTAGATCTGTGATGGTTTATTTTCAATGACTTTGTGTCTGACTGTGGCATTATGGTCATATCCAATCTCCATGGATATTAAGAATACTTATGTACACTGAACATTAATCATTTCTTCTCCTAATCACTTGGGAGACACTGATGGCAAAAAGGAGCCTATTAAATTTATTCATAAGGCTTTCAGATTGTAGCAATGTGATCCCTCATTAAATTCTAATAGAATTGTATCCAGCACTCACCAAGAATTATTATTATTATTATTATTTTTTTTTTTTTTTTTTTTTTGAGACAGAGCCTCAAGCTGTCCTCCTGGGCAGAGTGCCGTGGCATTACAGCTCACAGCAACCTCCAA